ACAGTGACGAATGGATCTGACCGAGTCATACGTCATACCTTCTACAGAAGTCCAGTATGATCAGGTCCACCGGGCCCAGTGTGAAGGGGTAAGTGTAAACACTCAAATACCCCTCCACATGGGTAGTAATGTCGTTGTCGGACCAGGGGATTACTATGTCCTTATCCACCCAGCCGCAGTCCTTTCGAACCACAGGAAGGACGACCTCGGTGATGGAGCAAATATACCTCGAACCGACTTGCATCGGCCTTGTACCGAAGATGGCTTTTAGAAGAAGAAGCACCTTTTTGGGGAACAATCTTGGAAGTCTTCGCAATCGAAAGCTGGAAAAAAGTTTGAAAGTGTGAAGGAGGATTGGGGGATGAAGGGTAAAAACTTGCTAGGAAAATCAAGCACGATGGCTTGGGTAGAAGATAAATAAAAGCTTGCAACTTGTTGAAACATCTTGAAGAATGAAGGTAAAAATGTTAGGATATGAGGGAAGGCAGTGGTATCTTGAAGGTTCGAAGGTAGAAGTTTGGTCAAAAGTAAAAAATGAACGAATGAGGGAATATTTATAGAGGCTTTGTGCCGTTTCGCATCAAGGGACGGCCTGCCGATGCTGACACGCATTTGAAGTCATTATGATGCGACTGATGGGACATTTCGGGTTCTTTGTCATTTCTATCATGGCGTATTGAAGAAGGAATCGAAGGGCTCATGACGTTTCTCGTTGTTTCCGTAAACTTACCCTCTGAGAATCGAGGGGACTATCTATGTACAGGTGAAACCGGGCCCATGGAATGCCTCAGTTTCCAATAAGGTAAACGAAACAAGAGGCGTGATGACAAGGGACCGAAATCGAAGCAAGGATCCCCTCGAGCCGAGATCCGGTCAAAGCACCCGAACTCGAGAGTATCGAGGCCATGACCCCGGGTTCGATTCGAATCCCAAAGGCCTCGGAGAGCACTACCAAGCAATCAAGCACGACCAACAATAGGCTGTGATATCTGTGACCAGCAGGATATCATGGCGTGGATCTTGGCACGTATCAGCAGGAATTCGGTGATTGGCTAAATGAAATTTTTTTACCTTTTATGGAGTTGTATTTAGAGTAGGACTCCCCTACTATACAAAGAGGGTCTAATTATTCATTATGATACTGTAACACGCATATTAAGGCAATATACTATTATTTTCTCTGTTATTCAAAGTTCTCACTTTTGTTCATCAGTACTTAGTTGTTGTGAGTCCGGGATCGATGGCAGATATTTCATTAAGGCTGATGTTGAGTCTGAAATCTCCCCCCTTAAGCGGTTTGACAATTTATTACGTCCTCTATCTGTTTAATCTAACGCAATTTATCATTTGTATTGAATTAATCCATGTATTCATAAAACCACTTACAAATTTAATTGTTATAAGTTTTTAGGATAAACAAAAAGCTATTATAATTAAGGTATATGCCCTTACTTTTGATTATTTCTGGTATCTATCAATTTGTGCATTTATGTGTCTCTACTCGTTTTCTCTCAAACTGACCTCTTAGAAGCAAAAATAATATAAATTCAACCATATTAAAATCATGGTGTTCCATGAGAATAATAATAAGTTAGCAAGAACGCTTCCAGATGAAATAATTTTTTACATATTAAGCTATTTGCCACTTTCGTCTTTGTTCAAATTCAAAAGTGTTTGCAAGATTTGGCATACCCTATTTATGCACCCTAATCTCTCCCTCCTTTTTTTTCAAAAATTCCTTCTAGAGTAGTTTGGCTTTGGGGGATGTAGGCTCTTTGAAGAAGATGACATTTCAAGACATGAAAGGAGAATACTTTATCATGATTACTAAGAGTAGTCAAGGCTTACTTCTGGAGCAAACTATGTCTGATTCTGGACGTTCTGATTCTGATTCGGATTCAGATTTTAATTCTGATTCTGATGCTAACTCAGATTCTGATTCTTCTCATCCTCATCCGTTGAGATATCGCATACGATGCCCTATCTTGTGCCAAAAACCTTGCTATCCCGAATCCACAAAATCCTAGTTTGTGCATTGCCTTGGAGTTAGTTCTATCTAACCAAGCTGTCAAGTTGGTTTCTGTCATGAAGATGATCAAAATCAATATTCACTCGGTTATGAAATTCTCGCTCTTAGGATTGGGAGTTATCAAACTACTTATTGTTGGCGAGCTGTTAAGGTACCACCACCTAAGTTATTGAGTAAATGAGATTGGCCGAAAAAGGAAGAGAATTAAGGTTTTATTTAGAAGGGAGGTTACTTATTACATTTGGTACGTTGAAATGGAGGATGATGGTCTTAACATTAAAGTTGATGTTTTGGATATGGTTAATAAGACCTACATTAGTCATACTACTTTCCCTAGAGGTGTTGGTTTCTTCTCAAAGTTGAGAAGCTCTAATCTCTTGGATTGTAATGGGCGGCTCTCATTCGCTCAACTAGTAAAGGATGAGCTCTATATCTTAGTGTTAGATGATTGCAGAAAGTTGAAATGGGCTCCAAGAAATCGGATCAAAGCTGCCAATCTTGAAACCGAATCATAAAGAGCTAATGACATTTTCTACTTTCGCTAACAATTCTATGTTGTTCTTTGTGAGGCAGGACAAGGAATCTTTCCGTTGTTATGACTTAAATACAGGAAAGTTAATTACTAATGATATCTCAGACTACAAATATTTTGGTGAAGATATCGCAAAATTGGCCGGGCAAAAAATGTTCAATAGGGGAACCACCTCGGAATTACGTACTGGTGTTGAGTTTTATAATAAGAAAACTTTTATTTTGAGATTTTTGCTTTAGTGTTAAAAGTCTACAGTTACGTTTTTCCTTGCTTCTTCAAACCTTATATTATTTTTGTACTCTTTACCCTTGTGAATACAAACTCGTTCTTTGATGTTTATTGATAATAATCTTTAGCTGAGTAACAAAAAGAATCAAATAATGCTAGTTGACTGGTACTTTCTTGTATACAACAACATATTCTTTAGAACAACCTGTTGTTGGTTAAAATATTGTAACTAATCCAAGTATCAATGTGATGGTTGTCTAACACGTGAAAAAGCCTATATATAGATATAATTTTGTTTGTTTCGTCTAAATATACTTTAGTTGTTAGAACATGCGCATAGGAAGAAAGCATACAAAGCAGGTATCACAAGCATGTAAACTAGACAATGATTCAATACACATAGAAATACTAACCTCTTGAAAACGTTACACAGGTCCTCCACAAAGCAAGAATCCAGGGCTGCAGTCTTCTGCTACGCTCCTTGTAAGACGTTCGACGAAATTGTTTTGTGTGGGCAAAACAATACAACTCTTATTGGTTGAAAACATGTCTTCCATTAATAATTCCGAAATTAAGCCACAATAGGGGCTCAAAAACGTGTAGGATTATCCTACTCTAACTTAAAAGGATGACTTTTCTCCCAAGTCACTTTTTATCCAAGTCTGTCTAGGTTTTTACTAGGTATAGCAGGAACCACATAAAAAATAAGAGGCTACTAATTATAGTATTAATTCGAAAATTTGGAAGAATTAAATCCTATTATAATTAATTATAGTTTATTCTACTAAAAACTGCAATTGAACTCCTCAATATGAATTTAAAAAATTCACTAACATTTATTTTAACTCCCCATGTTAAGATTATAAATACCAGTTAATTAAACTAAATCATTGACAATTTAATTTAATCAACTAATTAAATCCTTTATAATTCCGATTAAACTATTTCATGTGATAGATACAAAATCCATCGGACGGATTTTTACATAAAAACTTATAAGCTTACATAAAAGGGGTATCATCAAACTCAAAACGAGTCATGGATTCTATCAACTAATTGTTATTTTACAAATGTTATTCGTTATTATCCAATATATTAGGCATACACTAACTCTTAATAGAGTTGTACCTTTTGATAAATCAACACAATAAATAAATCACATTAATCATAATAACTATATTAAGATTAGGAGTATAAGCTCATTTAATGAATCAGAGAAAGTGTTTTATATATATTTAGTACAAAAACATATTTTCTGTACTTGGTCCATTCAATATACACAAAGTATACTAGCACAAGAAGTTGGAGTAAAACCACTCTCATAATTAAGATAAATTATACTTTAATCTTGTGCTACAATCATCAAGATATTTTTTCCAACAATATCTTCGATTGTGAACAAAGTTTCTTAATTATGAGAACCGACAATTTAATCTTCTGTGTATGAGCTAAGACTCCATACACTAAATTGTCTACTACATAACTAAAGGACACATATTTAACAAATGATCTATTTAAAATAATTCTTTATTGAATTGAATAATTCAAATAAATAATTATCCTATAAGAAATAAAACACAATACTATAACTAAACCGCATGGTTAATAGTACATCCAAACATTAGTTTCTTCAAAAACATAAATGGAATGCTCAAAAAAAATATTATTGGACAGTACAAAATCTATGGAATAAATGTGCTTATCTAGTTGTAGACTTATAGTCGTACAATTCGGTCAACTCATTGAGAAATACGATCTACGGAATGCTCCAAGACATTAGTAATAAATTTGTTGTTTACTGAATCTTTCAACTCCACTTGGAAATTATCCTACTCCCCAAAGTTTGCCTAGGACCGCCCTTAATCCAAAATGATTGTGTTTCAACTTGTTTGATAAAACAAACTAGAATGATATACAAATACAAAAACTATGTGATTTAATTGTGTTAGTGCAAGATTTCACAGATTCTAATCCCTTGAAAACTCCTTCATTTTCTTGTTTTGATAGGACAAAAAATCACACAAGGGATTAAAAAAGATGGGATTTTCCTCCATAAATAGTTTCACTTCACATCCCTCTACCCCAAACAGCACTACTTCTTTAGTAGCATCTCTTTCCCTCAAACACAAAGAATAAGTACTATTAGTATTTTTTCTCCTTCTTCCTAAAGCTCTCAACTTTCTTTAGATTTCTTCAAGAAAATATATAAAAATGGCCATTAGAAAATTAAACAAGCTACCACAAGCTGCAGTTTTGAAGCAAATTATGAAAATGTGTTCAAGTTTGGGTAGGAAGCAATGCTATAATGATGAAGATCACCTTCCCATTGATGTACCAAAAGGACATTTTGCAGTTTATGTAGGAGAGAACCGAACTCGGTATATCGTACCAATTTCTTTCTTAAATCACCATGAGTTTCAGTACCTCCTCCAATGTGCAGAGGAAGAATTTGGCTTTGATCATGACATGGGCAACACTATTCCCTGCGGAGAAGTTGTTCTACGGTCACTAACTTCCATGCTTTGTTAGTAGTGAAGTATCTGAAAAGAAGAAAATATTGTGAATACCAAATTGTGGTTTTTCGTTTCTCTTTTTTCTAACATGTTTCTTTACTCCATTTTTTGGGTGATACTTTCTAGTTTGTAATCCAATTTTAACACCAACCCTAAGAACACACACAAGTCGTTGTAGTATAGTGGTGAGTATTCTCGCCTGTCACGCGAGTGATATAAGTTCGATCCCCGGAAACGGCGTTGTCCTTCTTTTTATAAAAAAAAAATAACCTAGGAAGCACATGATATCCTTAGTTCTTTTTATGGTAAGAATCAGATTTTTAAAATAAAAAAATCTGTGAAGTTTTTCTTTTCAGCACCGGTGCTGTTGTACCCTCCCTTAGAGAAAATTATAAAGGTCTCTCAATCTATTTGAGATTTTCCATAGAAATGTCTCTCAAATCTTCTTATTAATGATAGAGGTGCTCTACCAATTGAGCTAGCCTCACTCGTCAACCAATCAGTCAATCACACTCCTTTAATAGAATAACCAGTTAATCTAGAAAACATCACAAAAATCAGCATCAAAAGATTTACTAGACTATGAATGAAGTCCCAGGTTGCTCGATTTTGCCTAGCCATTTCATCCTTAGATTTTCCTTTCATTTATGCAATGGAAAATGGCCAAATATATCTTTGTACTATCAGAAAAGGTTTAAATGTACTCTCGTTATACTTTGAGTCCAAATATACCCTTGTCGTTATACTATTAATTCAAATATACCCTTTTTCCGTTAAGTTTGTTCAAAGTGGACATCCAATCCTATGTGGCACTGACATTTTATGAGGTGGATATCACATGGCTTGTCACCTCTGCGCTCATAACCCATTTTACCTCTCCCTTTTATTTTTTTCTACCACTAAAATTCCTCCCCCTCAACCACTATTCCCACCATTACCGCTAGCATGAAAAATATTATATTTCAAATTTTAGTCTTATATATATGGATTAGGGGCGCTGAGGTGGCATGCCATTTGACATCCATCTTATCAAATGTCAGTGTCACATAAGTTTGGATGTCCACCTTGGACAAACTTAACATAAGAGAGGTATATTTAAACCAATAGTATTACGGCAGGGCTAACCTTAACGTGCACATACCCGGGGGTGATCCCACGTCACCCCGCTCCACATAAGCTTGCCAGCACAACATAACTGGAAATCCTTACTTCAACCTTAGTCCGTAAACCTTAGAGCTCAATTTCCAACACCCGGAATTCATTACAAGACTCGAATCTCGTATCTACATATTGTATAAGTCTGAACAGGTTGTGCCAAGCCATAACCATGACCCAAGGTGTAATTGCACGACATGCCACAACTCAGATACTCACAGCAATATCTGCTGACCACCATAGCTGCCCAAAAGCAAATTCGGTGCTGGTAGTAAACCTCATATCAAATAAAACCTCGTTCAAAACCTTCGTACACTGTCGATGATAAAAGAAACACGCAGAATCTCTTAACCACTCATCTGATCAATAAGCCAAGAAGCTCGCTCGTCCGACCAGGGCCATTGCCCAAATCCTTAGCGGAAACATGGTATCATTCTTCCGAACATTCCCTATCCCAATACGATAGTGCAAATCTCAGGTCTAGAAACCTCATCCCAACCAATACAAGCAGCCCAACCGATAAGTCTCACCAAAAACCATATGGAGCCCCACACAACGCGGTTCCGTATACCAAATAAGTAATAATTCAGACATGACAGATTATGGTAAGAAAGTTAAATATGAAGGCTACTAAGCAAGTTAAGCACGCATGGTGATTTTAACATTTTTCCTATGAACTATTTTCAACAAGGTGAAAGAAAAATACACGAAATAAATATAAGGAGTTACATCTCATCACAGTACCATTGTGGCGCGCAAGCCGATCCATTCGTATCGATCCACATAGTGGTACCCATCGAGCCATAATGCTCAAGCTCACTCATCACATGTGTGTCACATCAAGCACAATAGAGTGCACCAAAATATAACTGTGGGAAGATGATTGGGCATAAACAACACTGAGAAAGACAAGCACTACTATGGTGCAATAAGCAAGTCAACATCACGAGAGCCACCTCGCCCATGATTTCATAAGGCCTAAACGGATTTACAATATGCGTGCGAAAAATCATGTAACCTCCACCACCCGTCATAGCATAAGAGAGAAACACGTAATATAGACCAAGGCACGAATACATCTATTCCGCCCGACGATATACCTGTGGTAATAGCTGCACAGGAGCAAGAAAATCCGATCCGATACAGAATATACATTCTCATTTGGCTCACAAATAATCCCCAAAATAAATTTCGATCATTCCCAAACAGGTAAATAACCTTCCAAAAGTCCATAACAACCTTACCATAACACATACCATTAATTACCCAATCCTCAACATTTCTTCACAACTCGCAATTAAGGAATAGTTTGCCCACGAGAACATCCAGTCTCTGAACCTCATATATACCAGAATTTCCATATACGATCTCAACACCACTACTCAAATGGTTGATACGTCACTCATACTCCATTATCTTACAGAAAAATACCCACAAGTCAAAACACAATGCACCTGCCAACAGGCGCACTCTCTTCCGACGATAACAAATAGTGCCAGCATAATCTTAAACACCTGAAATCGCCCGTGTCATCAAGAGCACATATCCTTCCCTCCAAAACTAAACCGCAACCTTGTATATGCAACTTTCCAACCCCCACACAGCGCATCGCCTCTAACATGCTAACTCAAGACACTACAAAAATCTGATAATTAACTCTGAACCATGAGCAAATTGAGCTTCTCATCAACCGCGAACCTTTCATTTAACTCAATCCAGGAGAAAATCACCACACAAAATATAGCTTCTATATCTGTAGCAAACATCAACTCCGGTTGTGGCCATAACCACGATGAATTCTTCAGAATTCATTAACACATAATCGAGTCATCAGAACTGATCGCCTCTAACTCAGCCGAGTTACACAGACTGCCAACCGAAAGTAACTCAATCTGATATGCTCACTCTGAAGGAACCTTCTGCGAATCCGAAATGGTTTCTTACATCTCTCCAATATTGTTATGTAGAATCATTCTTCACATAGAACTACCGAAGATCCGATCACCACTCGCTACCGATCTCAAGCCCTACCCGTACACAAATTCAGAAGTCCTTAAATGCTACATATGATATGGAACTCGTCGGAACCTTCTCGATAACCGCTCACCTTACTCTGATCTTCTATACACAACTAATACACACCGAGCAACTCGCGCTTCACCAGCACATGACTATTCAAAGAAACAACCAAGCAATCCCTCAGCCCGGAAACTGATACAACGCATGCTCCTACAATCTGATCATCATTAGCAAACTCCCCCACTTAGCCCGAAGCCATAGAACACATCATAGGTAATCCAAAGTACCATGTATTCATAACTGCCCCGATCCCGCACGGCTATTTATCTGAATACTTTAAATCTCATGCAATACTGGTCATAAAACACTCCGAAGACTCTGCCAAGCACGTGCGCATTCTTGCAATAGTCAAGCAAACTTCTCCAAATGCTCTGAAATGATAACATATGCATTCTACTGAATGGAAACCTCATACGAGACACACGATCCAAACTCATCATGTAGGAGATAACCCACCAGTTGTACTCAAGTCAACACCATACCATGAACCCACCTTAATCACAAGAACTAGGATATCAGCTAGTCTTCTCAAGTCTATGCTTACCAACCAGATATAAGAACCCGCCTCGTACCACAAATGAACGACTGAAAGATTTAACACTACATCTGCTCTCGAGACTAGACAATACATCGCAATGATAATCAAGCATCCATAGCCCTTCGTAATCCATCTGCAGCATCACAAACCGTCGGCGCATAGCGAATACTGAGTGTGCAACATCACATATGAATGAATAGGAAGAATCAAAATCGTAGATTTCAAGCTGAAACAAGGCCACATGATAAGGAAAGAAAGAAGGAAAATTTTCCTAAATGCCCTGTAGCCTCTCGAAGATAGGTATGGACGTTAACATACCGATCTGCAAGACTTTACTGGACACTTGCTCATGACTCATAGAACCTACGAACCTAGTGCTCTGATACCAACATGTCACGACCCAAAATACATTAGTCGTGATGGCACCTAACACAACCCATTAGGTCAACCAATTGATAGTTAACACAATTCTAATAAAATAAAGGTGATCAATAAATGCTACATCTGGATTTCCATACAATATCCCAAGGACTGCTAGTACAAGTCATGAGCTATTAAGACTAGATAATTGCAAAAACTGATATGAAATGGATACAACTTCTGTTCGAAAAGTACATAAACAGAATTCAATTTTAAAACTACCCACGGAAAAGTGGTAGCCACACCCGGAAGGCACGAACATCTTTAGAGTCAGCTCTCGTCATCTACCGTAGCTCCGCTCCAAGATCTACACGCAAGGTACAGAAGTGTAGTATGAGTACAACTGACTCTATGTACTCAGTAAGTATCTTGACTAACCTCGGTGAAGTAGTGACAAGGCTTTTTAGTTAAAAGATACTCAGTGATATAACATGTGCAGTAAACTAGCAATAGAACAATACTATAATATAACAGAAAAGATTACACGAAATGAATATGCGAAGCAGTAAATGAGTACTGGAAGAGATCACAATTTAATATTTTCCAATATCTCGACCAATCCTTTCCCTATAGCAATAACCAATAAACCACGATAGTAAATTCATAACTTTCATAGTGTGAGAAATGTACTCAAGATATCAAGTCAATGGCATGACAACACCCTTCGTGCATTTATCTCATCCTCACTAAATATACATATAACAGAACCATCCGGGTAAAAGAAATGCCAATAACAGTAATGACAAAGTGGAAAATACACAGGTAACAATAACAAACAAGGCATTATATATGGACAACGGTAACAGACTAGGTAGAAGGCATAG